GGCTGGAGGGGTGGGGGAAGGGGGTGGCAGTGGGGGAAGGATGCTGCAGACACCCCTGGGGAGAGCCCCTTGGGCACCCCTGGAGAGGTTTGTCTGGTTTGGGGGGGGAAGGTCTGCTCTTTGGATGGGAACTGAACCCATCATAGAGATGGGGAGAAGAAAAATGAGCTGAGGATGGAGGAGGGAGCCTGGGTGGGAAAGGTGGAAGGTGGACGGTGGACGGTTGGCTGATGGAGAGGAGGCTGGAGGGAAGGGGAGGAAGGAGACCACAGGAGGTGTCAAGGGAATAAATCGTGCCCTGCAGCCAAGGTGGGACATGTGTTGTGTTGGTGGGGCAGCACAGTTGGGTCTAGTCCTGCCTGGGGCAGCGGGATTCACCATCTTCTCTGGGGCTTGGTGCCCAACACCATACCAGGTCCTTCCTTGCCCAAGCCCCAGCTGGGCTGGCCAAGGCCAGAGAGAAACTGTCCCCCCCTCCAGCCAGGACCCATCCAAACTGCACTGGGGATGCCCTGCCTTGGGTTAACCCCTGCTTGGAGACGGGAAGGGTCTGTACCCCTTCGTGCCAGGGCTGGGGAGGATGGATGGCTGAGGTTGGAAGGAGGTCCCAACCTGGTCCCAGTCAGCCCCTCATGATGAGGCCATCAGGGGATACTGGGACATGAGGCCATGCCCATGGACCACGACGTAGATATGGATGCTGAGATCAAGTCTGAGAGAGTCCAGAGCAGAAGAGGCCATGCAAACCAAGAGGACCCCAGCACACATCACGCTGTAGGAGGAAGGGATGGGCTGTGCTCAAGGGAGATGTCTCAAACAGCCCAGGGAGTCCTCCCACTTGCTCACTGCAAAGGGAGCCAGGGCTGACTTGCTCACATGGAGACATCTCTGCTCTACGGGCTCAAGGGGTTGAGATGAACCTCTGTCCATAAATATTTAATCCTTTTGGAAATATGGCTCTGGTACAGTCGTCTTGGCAGACAAAGGATGGGCTATGTGGAAAAGCAGGGGAAGCACTTGCTTTCTTCTGCTTTAGCCCTTGTTTTTGGTCCAGGTTCATGGCCAAGGAGGAGTCAAGTTCCAGAATTGGGCCAAGACCTATGGCTCCTCTCCAGAGCTGTTCTTCCAGCCTACCTCGGTGGAGGAGATCCGGGAGGTAAGGAGGGTGCTTCCAGGAAACAACCCGTTAGAAATGAAGAGGAGGAAAGGCCAGGAAGGGCTGTGATGCTCCATCAGAGGTCACAGATGGTGACAGCACGAGTCTTTCCCTTAGCCCCAGGAGATGGTCCATCCTACTGAACTGCACATTTTCTCCAGCAGAAGTGTCAAACACCTAAAAGATGCAGAAAACCAGCACGCCTGGCCCCAGCTGGACTCTATTCTTTGGGCATCGGGATCTGGCATCCTTCTGGGGTCCCCTGCCTGCCCCAGCTGCCATGCTGAGGGGTGCAAGTCCCGTGTTGCTTTTGTTACCCCAGATACCTCTGTCACCCTACGGTGTCTCAGGTGGGCATCGCCTCTTTTGGGATCATAGAATGGTTTGGGTTGGAAGGAACCTTTGAAGGTCGTCTAGTTCAACCCCCAAGGATGATCCCAAAGGCTGTCTTAGGAGGTGTCTGGGCTGGTTTTAACCCCAGATGATGAGTTAGCCTAGTAAATGGCGGTCAACCATGGGTGAGCTTTTAGATTGGGATGGCTCACAGTGCCTCTGGCGTTGCCCTTAGCCCATGGCTTTGAGGGAGGTGTTGGAAGCTCAGGGCCACCTGTTGTCTCTGCAGATCCTGGACATGGCCAGGCAACGGGACAAGAGGGTGAAGGTGGTGGGGGGCGGTCACTCTCCTTCGGACATCGCTTGCACCGATGACTTCATGATCCAGATGGGGAAGATGAACAGGGTCCTCAAGGTGAGACCGGCTTCTGGGCCGTTACTGGGGCTGTGTGGCTGGCTAGTGGTGAGCAGTGGGAGAGCTGGCTCTGTGCACATGTCCACGCCTGTGTGTCGTGTGTGCGGGTGGGCACGCGTGCCTTTGTGTGTACATATGCACGTGTGTTTCTGTACATGCGCATGTGTGTGTACGTGTGCAGCTGAAGATGAAAAAGTCCTGACTCTAGCAGCGTATCCCGAGAGCTGGATCATTACTGGTAATTAACAGCAGTAATTAATTAAGGAACGGCCCCCCTGACAGCTCTGTCAGAAGCAGGATGAATAGCTCCTGGTGGCAATAAGTTCTCCTTCCACCAGGAGCTGGCTGGAGCTGGCTGAGCAAGGCGGGAGGGCAGAGTGAAGGGGTTTGCTGATGGTGGAGCTTTGCTGGGGGTATGTCTTCTCCCTTGCATTGACCAACACCTTGGAGAAGTTATGGGACAGGTTACACACCCCTGAGACTGGGGAGAGCCGAGGAGAGCGGGGTCTGGACCAGGGGTGGAAAGCAGTGGCACCATTGGGTTGGACAAGGTTTGGGTTGGGTGAAGGTCTGAGAGATGTGGCAGCTCAGGATGGGGCAAGTCCCTCGTGGTACGTGGCTCTCCTGCACAGACATTATCGACTGTGTTGGTAAGAGCAGAGCGGTGTTCCATGAGGTGTTTCTCCTCTGAGCTGTGTGACCTCCCTCTCTCCCACCTCACCCTTTGCAGGTGGACAAGGAGAAGCAGCAAGTGACGGTGGAAGGTGGGATTTTCCTCTCGGATCTGAACGTCGAGCTGAGCAAGCAAGGGCTGGCCCTGGCCAAGTGAGTGGCACGCGTGCACGGGGCCGTCCCTGGGCACCCTCCCCAGGAGGGATCCTCCCAGGAGGCCATCCTTGCCCCAGATCAAGTGCTGGGACATGGTCAAACAGGGATGTTTGAAGAGCTTTTCCTGCAGAATAGGGGGGTTTACTTCAGGATCTGAAGATTGCAGGTCAACCCCCTCCACGACGGAGTAGCTCATCCTGCCTTAGAGGAGGAGGCTGGACAAGAGGAGCCTTCATCCCCACACCAACCCTATTATTCTCACTGTGCCCACCAGGCCAGTCCTTTCCATGTCACGATGGAAAACTCTGCACTCCCTGGCCCTAAAATGATGTGAGCACCCCGCCAGGGATGCCTTGCATGGGGCAGAGGCTGACAGGTCTCAGAGGTAGACAAAATAAGGCTAGAAATGCGTTTTTGATGGCAAAGGACAATTAGCCATGGGAGTATCTTAGCAGGAAGCATGGGAGAGTCTTTGCTCTGCCTTGCTTTGGGATGTCCACTGTCCCCAGAAGTGGAGGTGGAAATGATGGGCTGTGGGGTCCAGGGCAATCCGTGGGTGGGATTCAAGGTGATCCCAGCTGATCCCTCTGCCTCCAACATGTGTGGTTCTCCTTTGCAGCGGGTGTCTCGCCAAGGGCTTGGAGAGAGCCACGTTCAGATAGGGGTTTGCAAAGGGGACAGCCATGGAGACCATTTCTCACACTCAATCTCTTTCACTTGCCGACCTCAGCGAAGAAATTGGTCTTTAATTTCAGTCCAGCTCAATATCTGCTTTCCCCTGTCGATAAAAGCGATGAGTTTGTCACAGCCCTGTCCAGGGCTGGGGTGAGGGTTCAGAGAAACAAGCCCCCGCTGAGCAGATGGCCGATGGCGCGAGTGGGGTGAGCAGGACTCCTTCATGGAGGAGGAGTTCACCGAGGGCTGGAATGGTCCTAGAAACCATGTCTGGTTCAGGAGGATCCTGCTCCCCAGCTGTTGGAAGCTGGGGGAGTGTTTAGGGGGAAATAGCAGGAACAGCACATTGTTCGCTTTAACCTTCTACCATCCCCTTGTGCCCACCTTGGCCGTGGTTGGAGGGACCAAGCTTGGTCTGCAGACCTTATGCTTGTGGATGTTCCTTCCAGCCCTGCTCCACAGTGATGTTTCTGGGGTAAACCCAGGTTCCTCACACCTTGCTCTGAGTGCGTATGGATGTCTCCACCCCAAAGAGTGAAGGGGTTTGCTGATGGTAGAGCTTTGCTGGGGGTGACTTCTCCCTTGCATTGACCTTGGAGAAGTTATGGGACAGGTTACACTCCCCTGAGACTGGGGAGAGCCGAGGGGAGAAGGGTGAGTGACCAAAGAGTCACTCCAGGTTAAGGGGGAGAGATAGCGCCTTGTGAGATGGGACACAGCTGAGCTGACCACGGTGACCTGCGCTCACCAGCTGCCTCTTCCTCCCCATGGGCTATAGCAGCATCCTCACGGATATGTCCCATGGAGACACGCCCGCAAGGCCAACAAACCCACCCCTTGCTGCAGGGTACCCTGAAGGGTGGCAAACCCTGCTCATTGGGGCAGGGGGACATGTCCTGGGGGTCTCTGTGAAGGGTCTGCATACGGTGCAATGCCTGGCGTGGTAACCTGTGCCCCACGCCGTGTCCCACACACTGAGGTCCTCACCCAGCTCCTTCGTCCACCCCCAGCTTAGGAGCTGTTTCTGAGGTGACAGCGGCCGGTGTGATCGGGACAGGGACGCACAACACTGGGATCAAGCACGGCATCCTCCCCACCCAGGTGAGACACGAGTCGGGAGCGTGTTGAGGCACAGACACCAGCATCTCGAGGGCTTCAGGGGAGATGTCCCGTCACCTGGTCCAGGTCTGGTGTGCCCAGCCTTGGAGTAAGGAAGGAGAACGCTGCAAGCAGGAGGGGTCCTGTCCCCCTGGGATGGAGCTGCTATGGGGGACCTCCAAGTCCTCCACACGCAGTGGGACCTCCTCATCTGTCAGCCATAAAACATAATCCAGCTCAAAACTCTTCTGTCCCTGTGCTTTGTGACCTTACAGTCCCATGAATAAGCTCTGCACCAAAGGGAAAGCAGTTCTTGTATTGGAGCACCCCAAATCCAAACCTCTGCAGGGCTCAGGTCTGTTTTTAACTAGACACTTATGAAAATCCTCCACTCCTAGCCCAAATCCTGTATGGTGATTCCACCGATGGTTACGTACAAGTTAAGTAGTTTGGGGGAGTTCTTCTTTATTTGATGGCTTTTCCTAGTATCCCCCAGAGAAAGAAAGATCCTTTTGTGTCACTACATCGAATGCGGCAGGAGAGGGACTGATGGAGCCAAGCTCAGCAGAAAGCACCCTGTGATGATGGTTGTGGCACAGGGGTCTCCCTGCTTAGCCCCCAGCTCCAAGTTTTGGGATGGATGCAGGCTCTTGTCATGGAGATGGGACACACCGAATGCTCACTGAAGCTTTGCTCCCCTCTCGGCAGGTCGTAGCCCTCACGCTGCTGACAGCCTCAGGGGAGATCCTGGAGTGCTCTGAGTCCATCAACGCAGACATCTTCCAGGCTGCCCGCCTGCATCTTGGCTGCCTGGGCGTCGTGCTCACAGTCACCTTCCAGTGCGTGCCCCAGTTCCACCTGCACGAGGTGACCTTCCCTTCCACCCTCACCGAGGTACGATGTGGGCGACGCTTTCAAAACCTCCTTGGGGATAAACAAAGTTCTTGGTGAGGTGACATGATTGGAGGGAGACTGGGAAGGGGTTACGCTCCGGTAGCAAATCCCACGGGTGCCTGTAGGTTGCATTCCTTGAGCAACTTCATGGCGTGCTTCATGGTGTCCTTTAAGATGGAAACTTCTCCAGGGTGACAAAAGAGAGGAAGGAAAAGCCATGTTTCTTTGCAAATACCATTTCAACTTCCCATGGGTGGGAAGAGCATCTTCCAGACAGGTACAGGTAGTGGGGTGGGAGGAGAGGTACTCCTAAGTGCCACCTCTGCACCACGTAGGGCAGGTGTGTGGTTGGGACTTGCAGCAAGACGTGCGTTGCGTCGTGCAGTTGATGTTCAGAAGCAAAGCGGGGTGTTGGGGTGCAAGCTGAGACAGCAGGGTGGTGCGAAACGGGGGTGCTGAGTCCCCTGATGCTGTGGGAAGACTTTTGCTTCATTCCCAGGGGTGCTGCATGGAGCAGAGGTGAGGGCTGAGTGCGCTCTGGCAGCTTTGTTGGCCACAAAATCGGGGATGAGGCTGGGTGGGGAAGCCCAGTCTGCTGTGAGTCTGCACTGAGGAGTTCTTCAGTCCTCATCAAAAAGCAGGTGGAACCCCTGCACCTTGCACTGGGACCTTCTCCGGCCCCCTTTCTGCATCCAGCCTGGGGAGAGGTGGGAAGGAAGGGAGAGCTGTGGGGAAAGACACGGAGATGAAAGTTGTTTCCTTTATTTATTATCCCTGATGGTTTTTGAGAACTGCAAGGCACCATCTCTGGGAGAAGTTGTGTCCATTTCCAGCTGCTTTCAGCTCCACATCTGGCCCAGGACAGCTCAGGAGTGTGAAGGTGATGTGAAACCTCACCTCTTTCGTTGTTGCCATGCTCACCTCTGAGCTGTTCCCAGCGTCCTCTTTTCAAACTGCTGCAGATGGATGCAGATTTGTTGCGTTTATCCAGCCTGAGACTGAAATAGCTGATTTTACTGTCCCAGATCAGCCTTTGTGAAGCCGCAGGGTGGCTTACAGCTGCAGGAGAGGGCTGGTGGCTTCCAGTGTCCTCAGGAACCTGCCCAAAGACTTTCTGCGCTCACCTTGGGCTGCAGAGAGTGACCCTGAGCTGGAACATGGCTGTGTCTTTCAGAGACACCTTCTGGGTCCTGGCAGGGGAGATGGGACCACCGTGCTGTGGGAGGCTGCTGTGGGAGGGTTGGCCTGCCTGGCAGGCAGCAGGCAGGCAGGCCCTGCTGCCTGCTGTCCTGAGCATGGTCACAGAATCACAGAATCACAGAATGTGAG